AAGCCAGCAGACCCCTCTCAGAGCCGCTCAGGATGAGCCTCATGAAGCTGAGGAGGAGACATAGGTTGCTCTGAGCCTTGCTGTTGCCATCCATAAAGTGGGGGTGGCAGGGGGACCCACCGTGGGGTTGTTGTGGGGATAGAAGGGGAAAATCTGGGCAGGGCCCTTGGCCCAGGGCTGGGGCGGAGCAGGGGCTAAGAAAGGGTTTGGTGCTGTTGACACTATGGTCATCACCACTGTCACAGTCCCAGAAGGGACGGCAGCATCGAGCAGAGGTTTGATTGGCACTTTGGGAACACTGGAGATGTGGAGTAACCAGGGAGCTGACATTTCAGGGGAGGCCAATGTGAGGTGGAGAAGCAACAGGGAGGGCCATCCTGGCAGAGGAACAGCTGTGCAAAGGCCCTGGGGCAGGGCAGAGCCCAGTGTGTGGCAGAGGCTATGAGGAGGGTGTGTGGCTTGAGCAGAGGGAGCAAGGGGCAGAGAGGGAAGAGGGCAGGGGTTGGGAAGGCCGTCCAGGGAGGACTTTAATTTTATTTTAAGGATATGAAATTCTTTCCCACAGAGGAAAAATCTAGCAGCTCTGTTCCTACCAGGAGTTTTTGTGGTAGTGGGGATTGAACTCAGGACCTTGCGCTTGCAAGGCAGGCATGCTGCCACTGAGCTAAATCCCCACCCCTAGGAGTCTTTTTGTTTGTTTGGTTTTTTGTTTTGTTTTGTTTTTTTGGTACCGGGGATTGAACTCAGGACCTTGCGCTTTCAAGGCAGGCACCAGAACCACTGAGCTAAATCCCCGGCCCCTTTTTGTTTTTGTTTTTGAGACAGGTTCTGCCTATGTAGCCCAGGCTGGCCTCAAACACACGGAGATCCTCCTGCCTCAGCCTCCCTAGTGCTAGGATTATAAGCATATGCTACCATGCACAGCTTCTTGCCAGGGGTCTTGCTTCAGGGATAGAAAGGACACAGCTGTCTCCCCCTTGGAGCCAAACCAGGAGCCCCCAATCCCTCCAGCATAGGCCGCTGAGCCTCTTTCCCCTATTTGCAGGGAGGGACTGAAACTGACAGCCAGGAGAGGCCAGAGCCAGGCCAGGTTTAAGGCCCGAATGGTGGGAGTCACAAGACGGGAGCTGGTGAGAGCTGTGACAGTGGCCATTCTAGTCCTCTTGTCCCCTCCTGGGACCCAGTTTCCCTGCATCCTGTCCACAGCAAGGGCCACGGAAAGACCGATGTGGAAAGCCTTGGTGTGGAGGAGGATTACACTCCCCGGGCGGGATTAGGCCATGTCTGGTGGGTGCCAGCCCAGCTCTAGCCGGGGCCTACAGCCCCAGGAGGCTGCTGGGGTTGATTCCCTGTGCTGCGACCCCATTCTTAGCACACTTGACATGCAGTTCCACAGGGCCGGTGACTTCCGACATTTTGGGGGCCATCAGCTCGTGTCCTGCCATGTCCCCAGACCTAGAATTCACTTGATGTTTCCTTTTATCCGAATAGGATTTCCCTGTCTGGAAATGCTTGGCAACCTCAATTTTTTTCCCTCTATAGAGCTAGGCTTCCGCTGTCTTTCCCCGGGGAACATATCTCCCACGAAAACATAAATCGGTAAACCACTGTTTATGTGACTGAGCCCTAACTGATGGGCACTTACCCACCCCTATATGAGTGGTTTCAACTGCATCTCTCTGCAGTCTACAACAGATATGGCTGGGCATGGTGGCGTATGCCAGAACTCAGGGGGCTGAAGCAGGAGAATCGCCACAAGTTCAAGGCCAGCCTGGACTACAGAGCTACAAGACCCTGTGTCCAAAAATAGTTTATTTGACAGATCCCCTGGTTTTGTTGTTGTTGTTTGGTTTGGTGGGGGGGGGTTTTTGGTACTAGGGATCGAACTCGGGACTTCCCGCTTGCAAGGCAAGCAGCGGAACCACTGAGCTAGATCTCCAGCCCTGGTGGGGGTTTTGTTTGTTTGTTTTTGGTACCGGGGATCGAACTTGGGACCTTGCTTTTGCAAGGAGGCAAGCACAGTGCCACTGAGCTAAATCCCTGGCCCTTTTGTTCTTTTGAGACAAGGTCTCCCTCTGTAATTGAAGCTGGCCTTGAACTCACAGCAGTTCTCCTGCTTCAGCCTCCTGAGTACTGGGATTACAGGTGTGCACCACCACACCTGGCACATCCATCCCCTACTGATGGTCACTTAGGCTGGTTCTAGTTTTTCACTGTTTAAAATAACACTACAAAAAGCCTGAAGATGAATTGCTCCAATCTCTGCGTCCATTGTCACAAAGCCTTGTGTGTGTGTGTGTGTGTGTGTGTGTGTGTGGTGTCCACATTTCCCTCCCCTAAGGACAAGAGCCATTAGAGTGAGACCTATCCCCCACCAATGTGACCTTTCTTTTCTCTCCCTGCCTTTTGTTCTCTCCCTTCCTCCCTTCCTCCCATAGCTCTGAGGACTGAGCCCAGGGGGTTCACACTGAGCTCCATCCCCAGCCCTTTTTATTTTATATTTATTTATTTATTTTTGGTACCGGGGATCGAACTCCGGTCCTTGCGCTTGCACAGCAGGTGGTGAAACCACTGAGCTAAATCCCCAGCCCCACAGACCTTTTTATTTTGATACAGAGTCTTGCTAAGAAACTAAGTTGCCCAGGCTGGGCTCAAATTTGTGATCCTCCTGCCTCAGCCTCTCAGAATCCTGGTTTATGACTTCATCTCAACTACAGCACCAGGGTAGAAGCTCCCCTGTTCCATCCCATCCATCACCACGTGAACCAGGCCAAGACTCGGCTTCCACATGAGTTCATTGTCACCTGGAGTTCTCAGGAGCACGGGGAGGGCAGGTGCTGCCCTCATAGGAGTTCAGTGGGTCCCCAAGAGCCAGGCTGAGGAACCTGGGTTCAGGCCTGAGGGGTTCAGGCCTGGGGGCTTCAGCTGCCAAGCTGCTGAAAATAGCCTCCTGGCAGACGGGAGGCACCAAGCAGCAGCAGCAGCAGGGCCATCTGGCTTCCTTCCCTGTCTGCCCGGCCCCACCTTGCCCCCCCCCCCCCGGAGCTGGGCTGCAGCCAGGCAGAGTTGGGAGGGAGAGGGAGAGCACTGCAGCCAGGAGACAGCCAGGATGTCGCTCCCTCGGGGACTCGGTGCTCCATCTACTAGCACTCAGCCACCCCAGGGCATTTGCACAGGCAGCACCCAGCCTGAAACACCCCACCCCCATTGCTGTGGGTCTGCATGAGTTTCCTGGGGCAGCTGTACTGAAGCACCCCAGACTCACAGTCCTGGGGCCTAGAAGGCAAAGGCCAAGGTCGGTGGGGCCACACTCACTCCGGGGCTCCAGGGGCTCCTTTCCACTTCTCCTGCATCCCAGTGCTCCAGACGTCCCCCGGCTGTGGCCACATCGCTGCGGTCTCTGCTCTGTCTTCACCCTGCTCTATCCCCGATGTGAGTCTCGGTGTCTGAATTTCCTTGCTGAGGCCGGCAGTCACTGGACAAAGACCATCTCATCCTGACCTGACCCCAACTGCAGAGACGCCCTTTCCAGCTAGTTCTCTGCACAGCCACCCGAGAGCAGGCCTTGAACATGTCCTCAGCTGGGAGGGACACATTCAGCCCACCACCAGCTCCTGGCCTAAGTCAGCCCTGATCATCGTCCTGCCGATCCCCTCACACCCTGGGACGGGGGCTAAACCCAGGCCCTTTGCACTGCATCCCCAGCCCTTTTTATTTTTTATTTTTTGAGACAGAGTCACTAAGTTGCCCAGGCTCAGCTTCAAGTTTGGATCCTCCTGCCTCAGCCTCCAGGGTGCTGGGATGAAAAGTGTGCGCCACCACACTTGGCGCTTGTCCGTTTCTAGGGGATGGGTCAGGGTTGGGGCTGGGGTGTGCACTTTCCCAGCGTGCTAAAGCCCCTGGGTTCAGCCCCACCACACAAAACAGAAAAAGAAAGCAAAGAGGAGTCCAGAAGTGTTTATCGAGCTGGGCTGAGTCCTGGGCGCAGCTCTCAGAGCCCGGAATCAGGGAGCTGAAGGTCCAGTTTATGGGTGTGGACAGGTGACAGGCGTTTATGGCACTATGGTTTCCAGTGGTGGTCAGAACAGTAGACACACAGGGTAACAGAGGGAGGGGAAGATGGGGAGGACTTTTAGCTGGGCATGCCCTTGGGGGGATAAGAAGACATTGGAGCCATCTGTGTCCCCAACTTATTACTGTGAGCCCCAGGAGAGCAAGATCCACGGCTGACAGGCGGGGTGGTGCACGCCTGTGATCCCAGCACTCAGGAGGCTGACACAGGAGGATCACAAGTCCCAGGCCAACCTAGGCAACTTAGTGACTTAGTGAGACCCTGCCTCAAAAAATAAAAAGGGGGCTGGGGATGGAGCTCAGTGCAAAAGCCCTGGGTTCAATCTCCAGTACTACAAAAAAAAAAAAGAGAAATAAAAAATTTAAAAATCATATTATAACATAAACTCCCCCTTTAAAGTGCACAGTTCAATTTGGTAGTATTCAGTACAATTACAAAGTTGTACAACTATCCATCCCCTCTAACTCCAGACCACGCCATCACCCCGGAAAAACCCGTTCCTGTGAGCAGTTCCCATCCCTCCACCTCCAGCACTTCCATTCTCTGGAGTCGCCTGTCCTAGGTGTTTCCTGTCTATGGAGCCCACACTGGGTCTGGGGTCTCTCACTGAGCACTGTGTCCCAAAGGTCGGTCCACACTGTGGCTAGTGTCACAGCTGTGCTCTTTTTTCTGGCTGAGTAATATTCCAGCGTGGGGATGGACCATGCCCCGTGCATTCCTTCCCTCCTTCCATGGACACCTGGGCTGTTCCCGCTTTCTAACCATTGGCCAGGCCGCTTGTAGGTTTCTAGGGTCCAGTTCTCTTGCCTGGAGACCCCCAGTTGTAGAGTTGGGGGTCCCGTGCTGGGGAACCACTCTGGAACCTCCTCAGATGGGTGGGCTGGGTCCGGAGGCTGGGAGCGAGGTGCTGACAATGCTTGGTCCCCAGGTGCGCGTGAGGATGCTGGTGTGGCCCTAGGCCAGGCTCCACACAATGACCTGCTGGCTGCGTGTGCTCAGTCTGCAACTCCTGCTGCTGCCTGCAGCGCAGCCCCCTGTGCAGGGCTGCCCGGCCCGCTGCGAGTGCACGGTCCTGACGCGTGCAGTGGCCTGTGGGCGCCGCCGCCTGACTGCTGTGCCGGACGGCATCCCTGCTGAGACGCGCGTGCTGGAGCTGAGCCGCAACCGCATCCGCTGCCTGAACCCGGGCGACCTGGCCTCGCTGCCGGCGCTGGAGGAGCTGGACCTCAGCCTCAACGCCCTCGCGCACGTGGAGCCCGGCGCCTTCGCCAACCTGCCATGCCTGCGTGTCCTGCGTCTCCGTGGCAACCAGCTCAAGCTCATCCCTCCCGGGGTCTTCACGCGCCTGGACAACCTCACCCTGCTGGATCTGAGCGAGAACAAGTTGGTGATCCTCTTGGACTACACGTTCCAGGACCTGCACAGCCTGCGCACGCTGGAGGTGGGTGACAACGACCTGGTGTTCATCTCACGCAGGGCCTTCGCGGGGCTGCTGGCGCTCGAGGAGCTGACCCTGGAGCGCTGCAACCTCACGGCCCTGTCCGGGGAGTCTCTGGGCCACCTGCGAGGCCTGGGCGCCCTTCGGCTGCGACACCTGGCCATCGCCACCCTGGAGGACCAGAACTTCTGCAGGCTGCCGGGGCTCCTGCACCTGGAGATTGACTATTGGCCGCTGCTGGAGGAGGTGGCCGCGGGCAGCCTCCGGGGCCTCAATCTGACCTCGCTCTCGGTCACACACACCAACATCACCGCCGTCCCCGCAGCAGCGCTCCGCCACCAGGCGCACCTGACCTGCCTCAATCTGTCCCACAACCCCATCAGCACGGTGCCGCGAGGGTCCTTTAGGGACCTGGTGCGCCTGCGCGAGCTTCACCTCGCCGGGGCTCTGCTGGCCATCGTGGAGCCCCAGGCCTTCCTGGGCCTGCGACAGATCCGCCTACTCAACCTTTCCAACAACCTCCTCTCCACGCTGGAGGAGAGCACGTTCCACTCGGTCAACACGCTGGAGACGTTGCGCGTGGACGGGAACCCGCTGGCCTGCGACTGTCGCCTGCTCTGGATCGTCCAGCGTCGCAAGACCCTAAACTTCGACGGGCGGCTGCCGGCCTGCGCCACCCCGGCCGAGGTGCGCGGCGACGCCCTGCGCAAACTGCCCGACTCGGTGCTCTTTGAATATTTCGTGTGCCACAAACCCAAGATCCGAGAGCGCCGGCTGCAGCACGTCACGGCCACCGAGGGCGACGACGTGCACTTCCTGTGCCGCGCCGAGGGCGAGCCAGCACCTGCAGTGGCCTGGGTGACGCCGCAGCACAGGGCGGTGACGGCCGTCAGCGCCGGGCGCGCGCGCGTGCTGCCCGGGGGCACGCTGGAGATCCTGGACACGCGGCCGCGGGACAGCGGCACCTACACGTGCGTGGCCAGCAACGCCGGCGGCAACGACACCTACTTCGCCACTCTGACTGTGCGTCCCGAGCCCGCCGCCAACCGGACCCCGGGCGACGCGCGCAACGAGACGCAGGCGGCCGCGCGCTTCCCGCTGGACCTCACCACGGTCCTGGTGTCCGCGGCCATGGGCTGCATCACATTCCTGGGCGTCGTGCTCTTCTGCTTCCTGCTGCTCTTCGTGTGGAGCCGCGGCCGCGGGCAGCACAAGAACCACTTCTCGGTGGAGTACTCGTTCCGCAAGGTGGACGGGCCCGCCGCCACCGCCGGCCAGGGGGGCGCGCGCAAGTTCAACATGAAGATGATATGAGGGCCGGGCGCCGATCTCTGCGTCCTGCCCCGCTGGTTTCCACCTACGCATCCTCCGCAGGGGGCAGCCGCAAGACAGCTGACCCGCAGGACACCCCCTCCCCCCTTCCTTTTGTAGGCACCTAGCCGCGGGCCTGTTTTTCAGCGGAGCGGATCTTTTGCAGTTTCTCGAGACTTTTCTAAAGGTTTCCACCTGTCTTCCGCCCCCCATCCCGCTGTGGTCCCGGGGCTGGGGCTGGGGTGGAGGGATGGGGGGCTGGGCTCCTTTCTGCCAACCCTGCATGGCTGGGGGCTCAGAGTTCACACCAGGGGGTGACAGCCGCCCCCAGCCCATTCCACCCCGCAGCTTTCCCATCTACGGGAGACAGTGGCACCTGGGCTGCACGGAGGGCGCCCCAGCCCCAGGGCAGAGCAAGCAGAAGGTCTGTGCTGCTCATACCGGAGCCCCCATGGCTCACACGCAGAGCGCACAGATTCACACCTCGGGCCCCGACACAGCTCAGAGGGGGCACGCGGTGCACACAGATGGTAGAATCCAGTCCTGGCTCCGGAGCTGCCCCCAGGGGCACGCTCGGCTCACACCTAGGACACTCCACACACAGCCAGAACACTCATTTCACAATGGGCCACACTCAGCCCATACCTAGGACACTCCCCTGGTGCCCAAGGCACGCTCAGCTCACACACTCAGCTCCTAACTAGGGCACCCTAAATTCACACTTCGGATACTCCACACTAGGTACACACCCAGCTCACACTGGAGACACACTCAGCCCATGCTGAGGACACACAGAGTTTACACCAGAAACACAAGGCTCACACCCAGGGCACACTCAGCTCACACGCAGTGCACACGAGGGGTCCTTGTCAGTCCCCACAGCCCTGTTCCCATCCTTCCTCCCCAGGACCTGTCGGCCAGTGGGGCGCCCACCAGGAGAAGCCATGGCCCCAGCTCCCCAGCGCCCTCACGCGCCCAGCCCCTGGCCTCAGGGCCCCCAGCTGGAGGAGTCATCCGGCCAAGTTCACATGGAGCCCTGAGCTGGCACCCTCAGGTGTGGGGTGGGAGCAGACAGTTAGGGGTGGGCCCTGAGTCCCTGCCATGTGCCCCCAGGGCTGGTGACAGGGAGGAAGGCCGAGGACCCTCGTCGCTGAGAGACAGACACAGGACCTTGGTCTCTGTGACATGCGGGCAGATCTAGGAGCAGAGTTTGAGTCCCAGGCCAGTTGCAGCTCAGGGGGAGAAAGACCTCCCCAGGACCACTGCCTGTTGTCTGCAGGTAGTGAGCTCCCTGCCACTAGAGGTCAGCAGGCAGGAGCTGAGGTTTGCCAGAAGACTACCGGACCGGCGGCCTCCCTGACCGGCCTCCCTGACCGGCCTCCCTGACCGGGCTCCCCCACTCAGCTCCTCCCCACCCTCTACCTCAGCCAGATGACAGGTGGGACACTCTAGGGGGAAGAGGCACAGGAAACCTCGTGGGGCCTGGCCGGGGTGGAAGATTTTTCAGCCTGCCTGCCCCCTCCTGCCCTGCTGTGTGGTCTCAGCTCGTGACTGGATACCAGCCAGTCACTGGTGTCCTTGTCCCTGACATGGGTCCTAGAGTCCAGGCCAGCAGACGGGCTGCATGGCTTGGCTTGGATCCCGGATCCCTTGAGTCTATGGAAAGACAAAAGCTGGCTTCCTGGAGAGGACTCAGCAGGGTCCTGGCTGGGCTGTGGCCTGGGACCTAGGGACCCCTGGCCCTGCCCATGATGTGCGGAGGGGCCAGCGGAGTGTGGGCCAGGGGTGCAAGCTGTGGCCCCAGACTCTCTCAGGAGCCCAGCCAGGCAGAACAGTCCTTCAGTGGCCTCCAGGCCCTGTTGTCATGACAACCCCAAGGGCTTCCTGACCCTGTTGGCATGGCAACTCCAGGCCTCCAAACACAACATCCAAGTGCCTTTAGCAACATTCAAAGATGGGGTGGGGTGGACGTTCCTGGCAGCACTGGGGTGACACAGCATAAGTATTGGGGTTCCCCAGCCCCTTCTCCCCCAGTCCCAACCCAAACCAAGACCCCTCTGCCTACCTCCCTCCACATCCTGCTGTATTTGATTGGAATCAAATAAAACTGAAATTGATTTAATAACAAACTTCAGATTGTTTTTATTATTCACATGGGAGGAGTAGGGGGTGGGAAGGGGTCCCTGGGAGGGAATCCTCCTGGCTTCAGCTCCTAGGGTCCCACTTTATTGATGGACCAACAGACAGCAGAAAGACAGAAGGAGCCAGCCGTGGTAATCCCAGCACCAGGAGGCTGGGGCAGGAGGATCACTGAGTTCAAGGCTACACTGGACTATATAATAGTGAGATTCTGTCTCAATAAAACAAAAAACAAAGCAAACAAACAAAAAACAGGACAGAAGGAATCAGCCCTGAGTCCGTGGCTAGGGAGAAATAAGGACCATCAGGGAAACTCCTGCCCTGAACTCAGGTGGAGAAATAGAAGTCAGGTCCTTGAGGCGCCTCTTCAGACTACAACCTCCTCCCTCTGTCCTGGGGAAGTCACCCCTCTTCTGAGGGGGGTCTGGGAAGAGACAGGCAGCCCTGAGTCCTGACGGAATACTAATAAAGTGCTTTATTGCTGGGCATGGTGGGACATGCCTGTCATCCCACCACTCTGGGAGGCTGAGGCAAGAGAATTGCAAGTTCCAACCCAGCTGGGGCAACTTAGTGATCCCCTGTCTCAAAATACAAAATAAAGGGCCAGGGATGTAGCTCAGTGGTTTCGCCACCTGCTGCGCAAACACAAGGACCCGAGTTCGATCCCTGGTACCAAAAAATAAATAAATAAATACAAAATAAAAAGAGGCTGAAGATGTAGCTCAGTGCAAAGTCCCCAGGTTCAATCCCCAGTTCTTTAAAAAAAAAAAAATTTAAGTTGCTTTATCCAACTCCCATTTGTTTTCTTTTTTTTTTTTTCCAGCCTCCGTTAACAGATGGGTAAACAGAGGCATAGAACAATGACAGGAACCTGGTGTCCAGGCTCCAACCCAACCCCCCCCTACGCCAACCCCTAAAGACACAGGGAGACACTTCTGCTCATTCTGTAATTTTTTTTTTTTTTTTGAAACAGGGTCTGGCTCTGTAGTTCAGGTTGCCCTTGAACTCACTATGTAGCCCAGCTAGGCCTCAAACTCAAAGTGATCCTCCTGGTTCAGCTTCTTGAGACCTCTTGAGCTTCCCTTGCAGGGAAACTATTTCCTCATGTGCCTCAGTTTCCTCGCTCAGAAAGGCTGCCATTCCCTGTCCAGTGCCTCTGAGTCCCTGATTCGAGGCGAGTACAGTACTCAAGATTGTCCCAAAACCTGTCAAATGGTGGGTATTGAGGGAGGGGACACTCCAGCCAAGGGGGGACACTCCTTCCACAGGGAGCCAGGGCCCAGCTGTAGTGAGCCCAAGAAAGGCAATCTGGGATCCCCAAAACACAGGGCAGGGCAGGGCAGGGCAGGGCCGTCTGCGCCCCGGGTTTTGGTTGTGCCTTGACCATCCCGGTCTCCCTTTCTCCTCCAGATGGGAAAAGACTGGTGAGCAGGATGCCCAAGCCTGCTCCTGGCACATCTCCAACCCCCAGCTCCCAACAGGGACTCGCTTTTGGGGGGATTTCAGGCCCCCACTCACCCTCTCCAATGTCTCCTGGAACCAGCAACTTTGCCAGGCAATTGCTGAGAGAGGAAAGTAACTTCCCCACCCTCCCTCCACAGGCGCCTCTGGCCCTGAGGGTTCTTCCCTTTGTGTTTGTTGTTTTGTTTTTTTGGTCCTGGGGATGGAATCCCTAAGTCCCTGCTCTTTTTATCTTTCATGTTGAGACACACTCTAGCAAAGTCAGAGTTCCCCAGGCTAGGGTCAAACTTGCTATTCTCCTGCCTCAGCCTCCCAAACGGTGGGTGTGCACCACCGTGCCCAGCTTCAACATTTTAAGTAAAGACAGGATCTATCACTTATATGATCCTGCCCCACTGGTCTGACACTGAACCTTGCCTTCGGTTCCAACAAAACTTTATTTAGAAAAACAAGTGGTCAAGCTTGCTGGGCACGGCGGCACATACCTGTCATCCCAGCACTCGGGAGGCTGAAACAGGAAGACTGAGGTGAGTTCAAAGCCAGCTGAGGCTACATAGAGAGACCCTGCCTCAAAAAAACAGAACAAAATACAGAAGGTGCAGCTAAGACAGGATGTAGGAGACGCTTTCTTCCTTCTCCGCAGCACAGAGCAGAGGGTGACTTACCCACAGTCACACAGCAAGGCTCTGAGCCTCGCAGAAGGAAGAGTGGTTCTCAGGAACTGAAAACCCACAGGAAAAAGCAGCCTGGTTTCATTTCTCCCGGAAGAGTTGGTGCTGGAGCTCTCTGCCCGCACCTAAGGCAGGGAGTCCGCTATGTCCGCCACTCCCAGTCTTGCAGGGTCCCCACTGCCACCGACCCACCCCAGTCATGTGGCTTCTGAGCCCTCAGCCTGACTTTCCTGCCTGCCCACCTGCAAGGAGTCTCCATCTTGGTGCAGGTTGTCCCCTCCGCTGGGACACCCTTCCCACCGCACACTGGGTTGCCTCCCCAGTTGAGGGAAATGATGCAAAAGGGGCCCCCAGCCCCACCCCGGGCCTGGCCTGTGGCTTAACAGTTGCTCCATGTTTCCTGTCCGCTGCCAGCCGGAGCCATTCGGGGAGGCCGGGGCTGCAGGACTCAGCGTGTGCCCCGTATCCCTCCAGCCTGAAGGTAGGGGCATCAGGGGGGCTGGGCAGAGGCAGCAGCTTTTCTCTTTCTTGTTTTTTGTGGTTTTTTTTTTGTACTGGAGATTAAACCCAGGGTTTTTTCACTGAGCTACATTCCCCATCCCTTTTTAAGATTTGAGACAGAGTCTTCCTGAGTTGCTTAGGCTGGGCTGGAGAAGACTGAGATCCTCCTGCCTCAGCCTCCGAGAGTGCTGGGAGGACAGGTGTGTGCTACAACAAAGGGTGGGAAGCAGTGGGGGGGGGGGCTGGGAACTGAAAGCCGACAGCAGCAGCACAGCCTGTGGTGGGCTGCGTGTGGCTCAGTTCTTGGGACAAGGCCCAAACGTGGCTCCTGCTCATTTTCACTCACCTCCTGCTGGCCCCTGGGTAGCCCATCCTCTAGGCTGGACATTCTGTCCCCATGCTGAACATTCAGGCCCTGAAGGATGGATGGGTAAAATGCCAGGCTTGTAGATAAGGAAAAGAGCCAGAGAGGGCAAGGAGTTCACCCAGGGTCACACAGCAGACCCAAGGCTGGCAAGAGAGCCAGAATCTGGGTGTCGAGGCCCCCGGGAGCAGACAGTATAGTGGATCGCTCCCCCAGTTTTCCCCGGAAGTACTCACTCCCCTGCCTGTCCACACAGTCATCCTGCATGGGCCCCCTTCCACCAACAGCATGAGCAGCCCTGAGTCACCTGCAGAGACCCCCGAGTCACCTGCAGAGACCCCCGAGTCACCTGCAGAGACCCCTGAGCCCGGCAGCCTGGCCCCACCAGCTCAGCCTGCATACTGCAACCTCGGTGAGCAGCCAGCTGGGAGCCCTGGGAGCCCTGGGCCAGGGAGGGCAGGGAGGGCAGCACTCAGGGAGGGGAGGGAAAGCTCTGGGGCCAAAGGCTTGTAAAACGGAGTCACCGGCACAGCCAGGCAGGAAATGGGGGTTCCTTGGGGCTGGATGGCATGACTCTCCTCCTGACTGCACCGGAGCAAACTGGGGATGGCCTCCTAACCTCTAGGACACCTGGCAGTTGGCTAGTGTGGTTTTGTTCTGTTTGTGGTACTGGGGATGGACCTGATGGCCTTTGCCCTGAGCTCCATCCCCAGCTTTTTTATTTTTTATTTTGAGACAGGATCTCAATAAATTGCCTCGGCTGGGCTGGAACTCAATATTCTCCTGCCTCTGCTTCCCAGAGTGCAGGATGACAGGCAGGCACCACCATGCCTAACATTATTCCCATTTTAGAGAAGGGGAAATCAAGACTGAGGTGTGGTCACAAAGGCCACTGGCTCTCAGATTCTCAACCCCCTATCTCCCGCACAGGGGAGGTCCGTGCCTACCTGCTGCCCTTCAAGACCTGCCGGTCCCGCACCCCTGGGTCTCTCTCCTCCTCCAACCCCCAGCCCCCGCCCCTGCCCAAGAAGAACCTGAGCAGGACGCGGTCTCTGCCCACTCGCGGGGTCCCCGGCGCCCAGACATCACAGACCCGGAAGCCGCTCCTCGGGTGGCACAGGATGGACGAAAGCCAGGCCGGGCCGGGGTCCGCGGGGCCTGCTGGGCCCTCTGAAGAGCTGACCTCAGGCGAAGACACTGCTGCAGCGCTGGGCCTCCTGCTCCACGGGTGGCACAGCCCCGAGGCCTTGCACAACGCGCTAGCCGCCCGCGAGCTGCAGGGGCTCCGTGCCGTCCACACGCGGCTCGGTGCACGGCTCACAGGCGGCCACCCTGGACCCTGCAGCGCCGGCCATGGCTTCCGCCTGCTGGAGCGCGCGCCCTGCGCCGAGAGCGGAAACACACTCTACTACCGCGTGGTGCGCGCAGGCGACGACACATGGCACGTGCTGGCGGCCAAGGTGAGCCCGCACTCCTCCCTGCCCCTTTTGAGTCGTGTCTTTCTATGTAGCCCAGGCTGGCTTTGAACTTAGTGGGACCATCCTTCCTAGACATCCTAGTGCTGGGATGACCGGTGTGCGTCACCAGGCAGGACCCCATTTTGTTTGTAACTGCCAGCCCAGCTCTGGGGCCTTAGTTAACACCTCCCTCTTTCCCAGGGGTCTCTAAGAACTGCACCCCTTGACCCCTGGCCACCACCACCACCATCCTCCTTTTTTTCTTTTTTTTCTTTTTGACACGGGCTCTCACTATGTAGTTCAGGCTGGCCTTGAAGTCTTGAAGTCACTACATAGCTCAGGATGGCCTCGAACTTGTGGTGATCCTCCTGCCTCAGCCTCAAAAGTGCTGGGACTGTAGGCGTGTGCCGCTCTCTCCTCTCTTTTAATTTTCCTTAAAGTTCTCCCTGGGCACCATACCAAATCAACACAAAGACTGCTTCCTCAAGTGTGTGTGTGGGGGGGGTGTGGGCTGTGTGGGTCGAGTTGTATCGGTGTGTGACACACCCTCGTTTCCCCCAGGTGCCCAAGCCCGGAGCCAAGATGCCCCAGCTGTGGGGCCTGGAACTCCAGGCCTCCCTGCCTCAGCACTATAATGTGCAGGGACTGTGTGGCCTGTTGCCTGAGGGCGCACTCCCTGGGGCACCCTGGACAGGGCGGGTGGTGCTGGCCGCCGAGGTGCCTGAGCGCACGGTGGCCCAGTGGCTGGCAGAGTTGGGTGCGCGGCGGCCGGAGAAGCTTGCGTGGGCCGTGGCTTTCACATTGCTGCAGCTGAGTGCAGCCCTGGAGCTCCTGGAGACGCGGGGCGCCGCGGTGACTGAGCTGTGCCCCGAAAACCTGCTGTTGGTGGCGCCCCGGGGCTGCGCGGCCTCTGGTCCCCCGCGCCTGCTGCTCGCCGACTTCGGACGCGTCCACCAGCGACCCCCGGGCCCCCCAGGCCCCCATGCTACGCAGCTGGGCCGCCTCCTCCGCACCCTGCTGGGCCCCGCTGGGGTCCCGGCTTCGCCCCTGGCCGCAGGCCTGCAGCGCCTGGCGGCCCAGCTCCCGCGCGAGCGGCCCTCGGCGGCCCAGACGCGGGGCGCGCTGCAGGTGCTGCTCTGGGGACCCGGACTCGAGCTGCGCGGCCGCGGGGCTGCGCTGGGACCCTGGCTGCGCGTCAGCCGCGCTCTGCTGCTCGTGCACCTGGCAGAGCGCGCTGCGGGCGGGGAGGCGCCGGGCCTGGAGGAGTGGCTGTACTGCGAGTACCTGGCCGGGGCCACAGAGGCCTCCCTGGGCCACGCCCTGGAGCTGCTGGGGACCGACCCCAAGTGACAGTGACACCCCTGGCCCGGGTCTGACTGCTTTGCCAGGCCTGGGGCTGGAGTCTCCGTGACGCAGTGAACACCTGCTTCCAGCAAAGCCAGGGGTCCAGCAGACAATACTGGGGTGTGATACAGCCCTACGTGACCGGGACCCAGGGTCTCCCCAAGAGCGCTACTGCCCCTCTGGGTGCTGGACCAGTCACTTTCTAGGTGAACACTGGCCTTCCAATAACAGCATCCCCTGGCATTAAGGGGGGCAAGTGCGTGCAAACGATGACCACCAGTCTCTTGCCAACTATGGTCTGATGAGTAGGACATGGGAGCACACAACTGTCATCCTAGCTCTCTGGGAGGCTGATGCAAGAGGATCTCAAATTCAAAGTCCAGCCTGGGCAACTGTCTCAAAATAATAAAAAGGGTAAGGTTATAGCTCAATGCAAAGGTCTTGGATTCAATCCCCAGGACTGTTTAAAAAAAAAAAAAAAGCCCCGATGGCCTCACAGGCCCTGAGCTCAGGGCCCCAAAGGCCCTACCCACCTGGCCTCCTCTTGCAGGGAGCTCTAGGCTCCCCTCTGCAGAGCGGTCCCCAACACTGTGCTTTCAGTCCCACTTCCCCCAAGTAACAAAGGTGCTTCTCCTGGTTGCTCTCCAGCTCCACCCTGCCCCTCCTACATGATCAGGCCACCTGGGAGTATTCATTCTTTCCAGATCTGCGACTGTCCAACTTCACCAGCCTGTGAGCTTCCTGACCCCGAGACAGGGTGGCTCACACAACAGGTGCTCAATTAATAGCTAAGGTGATAGAATGACTGAATGAGACGCATGGGGGAACTTCGAAGGACCCCCCCAAAACCCGTGGTGCCCTCTATTCCATCCCCATATAGCTGCCTACGACTCACCACCACACAGGGCCAGGGCACTCTCCTGCTGATACCTCCCATGACTCCCTAGAACTCAGAAAAACAGGACTCCTCTGAATCCGGCAGATTCCCTCTAGGCAGCCCCAAGGCACATTCAACCCTGAGGTTGCCTTTTGGCCTCCAAGATTTTGCCGATCTTGTTTCTTCCGCTGGAAACTCCATTTTATTGCTGTTTCAGCCTATTTATCCTTCAGCAACCCAGCTCCAATTCTCCTTTGCTCTGCATTTGCGAAGCAAAGGTCGCTAAGAGCTGTTCAGCTGTCTCCCTGTGGCCCCCACCATGGCTGAGGAATACCCAAGGCTGCACTGTGAAGGTGTCCCTCTCCATTCAATGCTGGGCAATCTCAGGGCGTGACCCAGATGCAGCCAGCAGGTGGTGCTGTGGCACTGTGCATAACGTTAGAAGCCAGGATGGTGTCCTTTCTGCAGCCTCACCTGGCACTGCTGTCCCCAACACTGGCCTCAAAGAACAGGAGGCCATAGGTATGGGAGGTGAGAGACCCAGACTTACACCCCTGCTGTCTCAGCCCCCTCCCCAGTAGCTTCCAAAGAAACTTCAAGGGGTGCCTATGTCCCAGCAGGGTTACCCGGTCACCCGGCAGGGACACAAACAGGGTAGGTCATAAAGTACCCCCCACTGTCCAGGGCCTGGCAGGGGAAGGAAAGCCAGGCTGGAGTTAAGAAGCAGGACTCAGGACTCTCCCACAGTGGTGGCCCACTGGGTCTCCCCCAGAGCTGAGCCCATGGAGGCCCAGATCCTGGCCCTGAGTGCTTGGGGGCACAGGTGGGCCAGGGGAACCTTCCTCTGCCTTCCTACTGGGCCACCACTGACAATGACAGTGGCCCGAAGTCCCCAGCCCAGGGTGCCCTCTCCCGGGCTTCTCGACCCAGTAACACCAGAGTACACACAGGTCACGGAGGTGTCATCACGTTTATTCAGATTTGAGAGAGCAGAGAAGAGTAGATTAATGCCTGTCTTTCCAAGGGAAGAGACCTAAGACTGGGTCCAAAGACTTCCACTGAGAAACTCCTCCAGTACAAGGGGATCTGAGTCATCTTCAACCAGCAATAAAAAAGTAAAATATAAACTTTTATTTAGAATTAAAGCAAATACTTCAGTATCACAAACACAACATTAAACTTCAAGAAATATACCGCTAATTTGGAGTGAGCATTTATTTGCACAATTACGACATGCGGACAAACCCAGAAGAGAGGACTGAGTCTGTGTTCCCCAGTGCAGCACACTGAGGGGACAGGGACCGCCACTGTGGGGGCTCCCTTGGCAGCCGGGCCACTACTCCTCCTCGCCAGCAGACTCTCTCTCAAACGTGTAGGCCATGAAGCAAGCATCGGGTCTCTTGGGGACAAGGGGATGCCCTGGTCTCACAATCTCAAAGCCCAAAAAGCTGAAGGTCCGGAGCAAGGCAGCTGCAGGAAAAACAGCATCAGGACCTGCATAGGGGGACCCAGAGGAGCTCCCCGGGGTGGGGCGGCACCATGGGGGAGTCACATACCTCTGTCCTCCCGGTTCTTATGGAAGCAAATGAAGACGTGGTCCGCATGGAGCTGCTCCTCGGCAAACTCAAGGAGAACTGCGAAACTGAGGCAGGCCGGGCCCGTCAACATCTGCCCTCCCCACCCCACGCTCAGGGTGGACAGGAGGCAGGGTCCCCTCTGTGGGAGACCAATCATCCCTGCCCTGCCTCCCACCCACTGGGACAACTGAGGGTTGCCCTGGGGGACCCCAGGCCAAGGCCTGCCCCGAACCCACCTGTCCTTGCTTCCCTCAGGCAGGGGGCCGCCTGGGATCTCAATGTAGAGGCTGCCGCCGCTCCACACGGCTCTCCAGGTAATGTGTTTGGCATCTGTGAGCCTGGACTGGACATTTAGAATCCTCGTCTTGTTATTAGACGTTAGTTCCTCTGTTACATTCAGCCGATTATCCTGTCGCAAGTGAGAACAAGTCCCTGTCTTAGAAGCCTTGCCTCTCAGATGGCACTGCCCCCTCTGTCCAAAAGTAAGGCAGCTGCCAATCTGGGAAATCCAGAAAGCTCCAAGGTCACGGGGCAAAGCAGGCTATAAACTGGCTCCAGCTGCACACACAAGTGGGGGTCTCCTGCTCAGGCCGCTCCCCACTCCCAGCTAGGGGCACCCCAATACTTACAGAGTAGAATGAGTTAGCTGAAAGATTGTGATCCCGCTGACTATTCCCTCGCCCACCTGGGATCTTCAGGGGTGGGTGAGGGACATCAGGAGCACCACCGAGGCCCTGGACCCAGGTTACTACAGCAACTGACAGAGACCCTGGAACTGAAGCAAAGATCTGGTTACGGGGCAGCAGGTGGCTCACCTGTCTGTCTCCACTACCTGCGCCCCCCCCCCCGCAAAGTCTGCAGCCCAAACCAACTGTCTTTTTCCCCTGCCATTACCTGGGTGAGGGGAGGCCTCTGCCCAACCCCAGCCCCCATCACATCTCACTTCCCCATTTTTAACTACAACACCCTAGCTCCAGCCTCCAGCTGCAATCAGAAACTGAATGGCTAGCATTTTCCTGAAAAGCTGCCACCTGTCTCTGCAAGGAAACCTCAGCCACAGACCTCTGGCTGTCAGAGAGGCACAGCAGGGCTGCTGTGTTTGGATCCCAACGTGATGACACACTGTCCTGGCCCCTCCCGCACCCTGCCTGGCCCCTCGGTTGCATCATCTCAAAGACGCCTTGGCCCCAGGGGAGATTTTCACAATCGCAGATGACAGCGCCAGCAGCCATTTGCTGTGCAGTGTAAACAGCCCCAAAGTCGCCTCCATTTTGCACAGCTCCAACTCGAGGCCCCCAAACCACAACCCGCCAGCACAGGGTCACCGCCCGTGAAAGACCATAACGGTGCCCATCAACGCTCACCTGGGGGAACAGCCCCGGAGACTCGGCCGGGACCCCGGGAGCTCCAACGCCAGCGAAACGGGCACCGAGCACCCCAGAGAGGACCCCACTGCACCCGTTCCCTCTGGCTCCTCCCAGCCCCCACGGTCACGGCAGGAAGTGACCCCGGGCGCCAAGCACTCAAAACGGAACCCACAACAACGGCAGGTTGGCCACCGCGAAGCACAAACAGCTCTAAACAGTTCTGCAGCCACCACTCCCCAGCCTCCACCAAAAGTGCAAATTCACGGAACTCACACCCCAACACCCTCGGGCCAGCCTAGCCCCACAATTTCGGCCCCGCCCCCAAGCCCAACTCCCCTTTCTGCCAACCAAAATTGAACTCAGTCCTGCATCCCCACTCAAACCAACCTCTACATCCTGCACCTCCCAAACCTGACCCTCAACTTGCTTCCCTCCCTCGTGCACCCTCAAATCCAATCCCCCATCCCAAATTAATGCTGACACCGCCGTCTCCAGCCCCTACAAGTTCGACCCCCAATTCCCCGCATCTCTCCCCCAAACAAGAACCCCATCTAGGCCCCCAATCTCGGTATTCGACCATGAGCCCTTCCCCGATCTGACTCCCTATCCTACGATCTCTCGCTCTTGTCGCCCGAACCCCACCTCAAATCAGAGCTCTCATCCTGCGAACCCCAAATCCGATCCCCGCCCCCGCCCCTCCCCCTCGTCCCACCCCAAAGTCCACCTCCCTGCGCGCCGCCGGCTAAGGACTCCGGGACCGGCCCCGCCCCCACCCGGGTAGAACCCGCCCCACCCGGCGCGATTGTGGCCTCCACAAAGGGGCGGGGCTCGCGCTCCAGACCCCGATGTGGCGCCTCGACCAGTGTCCCTCGGTTCCGAAGGCCGGGCTTCTGGAAGCTTCGGGCGGGGGCGGGGCGCTCACCTCTCGCTGCTGCGACCGCCGCGGCTGTGCAGACTAAGAAGCGGCATGGTGTGGCTGGCGTGAATGGTGGCACTAGGTTTATCCCCTTCCTTCTCTCTGGCGAAGCAGTGGCTGTTGAGGATCCGCTGCAGGGAGGATTTCACCATCCGGCCGCTGGGGTCCGAAACCAGGAAAACCTCCGCTGCGCCTCTCCGCGCCGCCGCCGCTGCTCGCCGTTCGCAAAATGGCGCCGCCGCCGCCGCCTGCATTTATAATCGCCGCGCCTAGACCACGCCCCCACGCTGCCGCGAACGCAGCCGCAAGGGGGGGGTGGAGCCGCACAGGCCGCCGGGAGAGCTAGGTGCGCCCGCCCTTTCTGGTGTCTGATTGGTGAAAAGCGAGGGGTCAAGGCAAATCCGTACTAACGATTGGCCTATGCGCTCTGGTCCCGCCTCCTCTCGTGGCGTCATCCTGCTAGCCCGTGGGGGACGGAGCCTTCGTAGTGCCGGAAACGCGCCGCGTGCGCCCCGCCCCCCAGCCAGGACTGGAGAGGGGCTACCACTCCCTGGCCGGTTCGCTGGGGCTCGCTGTTCGCAATATTTCCTTTACGGTCCTGTTGCCCTCTATAGGATCCCTTTATCCAGTGAGACACT